GCGTTGGGTGTCCCAAAGCTGCTCAGGGGTGGCCCAAACAGCTCCAAGCACCCTGGAAAAAGCAGGTTTTGGGGTGCCAGCCCAAGGCTCGTGCAAGGCAAGGGGTTCTTGTCCCTCCTCGTGGCACAGGGGACGAGCACCTGGCTCGGAATTGCTCTCTGTCTTAGCCTGTTTAGCAACACAACCAATGCCCAGGACATTTTTTTTAATGGGCTTATTTTAGTATCTGCTGTTGACTGATCCTTCCTGGGCCAGCGGTTTCCTTAGCGAGTTATTTTTAATAACGTTTGCAGGGTTTACAGTGCATATGGGAATCACATTTCCCTGATATCGCGCCACAGACAACGGCGAGCCCGTCCTCCAGCCCGCAGTAATTTCTCTCTCGAGTAAGAACAGGGAAAGGTTTCGAGCTGGGAGGGCGAGCACGGTGGGGTGGGAGGATTGGTTCGCCCCTAAACTTGGCTTTTTCCAGGAACAAGCTGGAAATAAATAGGTTTAAAAAGAAGGAGAGAGAGAGGCAGTGTGAGAACCGTGTGGAACTGGCAGCCCTGCTGTCTCCAACAAAGGCGCTTTGTTCTCCCGGCAGCACAACTTGACCCGTGAGATAGTGTTTTGCTGGCCCTGGAGCAGCTCCTTGCGTGAAGTCTCAAGTCACTGAGCTTCTCCGGGTCTCAGGCTCTGCGGTCCGGCAGGTTTCTTCCCCAGGGATGGTTTAGTGCGGAGCAGGAGCCGGGACGTGGCGGTTTGCATTCGGGGCTCGGCTGTGCAGCCGTGCCACGGGTGCTGCGTAGAGGGAGAAGCTGGGCATGAAGCTGGCGGTGGAGGTCAGAAGCTGGGCCCCATCCTTAGGGCAGGGATGGGGACACGGAGGGGGTCTTGCCTTGCTCTGCAGATGCCCCTAGTCTGCTCGGCCCCAGAGCTGGCATCTGCCAAACGCCCGTGAAGCTGCCATCGGGGCTCCTGGGTCTCTTGAACCCCGGTTCAGGAGCCTAAATGGGGGGATTTGGTGCCATTCGAGTCCCTCTGCTTCCCCACTGAGCCTCTCGCCACCCCAGCAGAAGGGCTTAAGGCTCCTGTAGATCCTGTCTCATAACTGTTGGTGCCGTGCCAGATGTCTCCAATCCCTTCGGGCGTCTCCGAGAAGCATCAAGTGCCTTTGTTGCACCCTCACGGCCCTCACCACGTCCCTTCAACTTCCCAGAAAAAACCTCCAAGCCCAACGTAGAACTTTCAAAACCACCAGGCTGGGACTGCCCGTGGGTGCGCTCGGCCCTTCCCTGACGCCCGTTAGGCCGCCCAGTCCTGCTGTAGAGCTCACCCCATGGAGGCTTTTATGTTCTCCAGCTGCTTGATGGGGTCTTCCCAGCTTTGGGGTCCTTGTGGAGGGTTTGGAGGAGGATGGGGAGGAACCACCTTGATCCATTGTGGCTTGGTGTCTCCACCACAGGACTTCCCGCTCCTGCTGTGGAGGGGGAGGACCCAGAGACTTCCATTTAGTCATGGAGACAAGCCATCCTTTGGTCCCAGAGACCTTTGGTATGGCCCATGTTGACACTTGAGTCTATTTTTATGCAACTTTGGAGAGCTCTTTGGCCTGTTCCTTGGCCTGATAGTGATAAGTGTCATCGTTAAGAGCAAATATCCCTCTTGAGCTGGGTGAAAAGGAGGCAGCAAGGCGTCCAAGAATCCCGAGGAGTTAGGAGGGGCAAGGGAAGGAGAAGCAGAGAGTGGCGGTGGAGCAAGGGGAAGATGACTTCTGGCCCAAGGCAGGAACGAGCGATGTGGCGATGGGAACCCAGCGCTCCTGTCGTGCCTGGCATGACCGTGGCAGAGCCACCGTAGGGAGCGGACACGGCCGTCGCTGAAACGAGCTGGGAGCAAGCACAGAAGGAGAGGCAGAAGTTATCCGAGCTGCCCGTGGCCAAGGGAGCGCGCGAAGGGGTGGGCTTGTTTTTATCCCAGGCCTTTCATATTTGGGGCGATGTGGGAATCGCCATGAAATCCCCAGCCTGTGTTAGGCCGTAGCACCCCGCAGGTTCGCCGTGGTTCCAGGACAACCAGGAAATGTTTGTATTATCCCGTTAACTGGTTGTTAACTCTCCGAACTTATTTGCAGCTCCACGAACGAAGAGCATTTGGAGTTCAAGAAGGCTTTGTACAGAACGGATGCCAGGAGCTCCCTAGACCTGCGAAACATGACCGTGTCCGGCAGCGTGACCTGGGACACCTCCGCCCTGGAGACGAGAGCGGGCGATGGGAGAGAAGAAAGCACTTTAGAGAGACTCTCTGGCTTGAAGGACTCGAAGGACGCGCGGTGCGTAAAGGAGTCGGCGTTCGCCGTGGAGCCCCAGGTTGTAAATACGGTGCAGGTGGATCCTGAGCAGCTGGAGAGCGACTCCGAGGAGCTGGATGGTGGCAAGGCGGCAGCAGAGACGCCCAGCCCTTGCGCCGGGGCGTCGGTTGGCAGCGGGGAAGAGAAATACCTTAAAAATGAACCAAAGCAACTTGAAGGCCTCAGCAAAGAGCATTTAGAGAAAAGCAAGAGGGGAATCCAGAGGGTCGACTGGATTTCTAGACCCAACAAAAGCCCGAGTCCTCACTACAAAGACATAAGCAAGCCGACAGATGTAGCAACCAACCTGCCCTTTCGGGGACAGTCCGTGCGTGAAGTGCCTCCTCCGCTGACTCCGACGGTGTTCAGAAAAACGCTAAACCCTGTCCTCGGCAAGTCCAAGTCCCTGGAGAGCTCCTCGTCCCACAGGAAGGGGATGATGGTCGACTCGGACTTGGGCGAGATCAACCCGCTCAACGCGGCCGAGTGGACGATCCAGAAGCCGAGTCTTCAGCTCGGCGCTGACCTCGCCGTCGGCAAACAACGCCCCAAGGACGCGGGGGAGCGCCTGCCGTTGATGTCTCTGGAGCCCGCTCCCTGCAGCTCCTACGACATCGAGATGAGGCCCTACGTGTGCAGCGTCTTGTTGGAAGAGCAGGGGAAAGAGGAGCTGGGTCCGGAGGAGGACCCTACGGTGTACACCTGCATCGAGTGCAGCATTTACTTCAAGAAGAAGGAACATCTGATGGATCACATGCTTCAGCATAACCGCGGACCAGGGAGGGACCAAGACAGAGATGCTTTGGGAGGGCAGTGTCAGTTCTGCTGCAACGAGTGCGGATGGGCCTTTGGAGACCCCACGTCTCTGGAGCAGCACAAGAGGCTCCACCAAGAGTCTAGGGAAAAAATCATCGAAGAGATCCAGAAGTTGAACGAGTTTCCAGACGAAGGCCGGGAAGCCCGGCTACAGTGCCCCAAGTGTGTGTTTGGCACAAACTCCTCCAAGATCTTTGTCCAGCACGCCAAGATGCACGTCAAGGAGAGGAAGGACCAAGGGGCAAAGAACATGAATCTCTTTGGAAGCGCGGGCAGCGGAGAAATACGGGATAGCCCCGTGCACGGCATCTACAAACACTTCAAACCAAATGAACACGTGTCCCTGCAGATGCAGGTACCGCCTCACGGCAGCGGCAAAGGGCTCAGCACCTGTATGCTCTGCAGCTTCCCGGCCCCCAACGAGAACATCCTCAAGGAGCACATGAAATACGCCCATTCCCACCTTTCCTGGGACGCGGAGGTGTACGAGGATGATCCCAATCAGCCGGGAACTAGCAGAGATGCCTACAGCCCGGCCAGACCAGGCCGGTTTGCAGAGACGGATTATTTCGGCAAAGCAGACCGGCTTTTCCCTCCGCCTCCCCGAGAAAGCCCATCGCATTACGAAGCTGTCCAAGGTTTTGCCCTGACTCACCCAAGACTCGACAAAAGCAACGGGGCTAGTAAAAAGGACTACCAGACCTCAGGGTTTCACGCCAGGAAAGCAGCTCCGTACTCTGCCCCACACAAAAACCTGGGGCTCTCCAGTTTTCCATCGACTAAAGCTTATTCCCAGTTTGCTCTGCAGCAGCTGAAAAAAAAAGCAGCGGCCCAGCACCTCGAAGGAGAAGGTGACGGGCTCAGGAGCCACCCGATGGGGCTGGAGGAGCTCAGGCACAAGTGGATGTTGGCCAACGACGCTGGGAACATGGAAGAGGAGATCTCCGTAAGCACAGAGATAGATTTGAGCGAGAACAGAGGCATCAAACCCGTCACCATCCCTCAAGCTGCCTTGGACCTCAAGAGGACGTTCAGAGACACCTTGAAAGCCACGGACTCTTCGATAGCTTCGGAGGAGCAGCAGCAGCAGTTGCGGAAGATGGTCCCCATCGTCCTCCTGGAGGAGGTGAACCTGCACCCCAAGGCGACGAAGCGGCCCCGGGGGAAGCCGTTCAAGAAGAAAACGACGCTCCCGTCCCGGGAATTCATGATGGAAGAGCCCCTTCCCTTGGATATGCTCCTGTTGGACGCTCCTCTGGAGGGTCCTCTGGAGCTCGATGACCTCTTGGACTCCGACTCCCCCATGCTGAAGAACGAGGAGAGGAAATGTCCCTACTGCCCAGACAGGTTTCACAACGGCATCGGGCTGGCGAACCACGTGAGGGGCCACCTCAACAGGGTGGGGGTGAGCTACAACGTCCGTCACTTCATCTCAGCAGAAGAAGTGAAAGCTATTGAGCAAAAATTTTCCTTCCAAAAGAAGAAGAAAAAAGGTAGTATGTATTCAATTCACCGTGCTTTCTATTTTCTTGTTTTAATCGGTGGGGTTTTCTCCT